GGGTGGTTTTTAGGAATCCTTGGTTGCTGCAGAACCCGAGACAGGCTGGCTTGAGGCAGGACCCTCATCTGCCCACACTTCCCAGCAGCTGGGAGTGACCTCCCTGCTCTGCTGGCACGGGGCTGGGGAGACGTTCCCGTCGGCCTTGGGAGCGTGGAGCTTTGATCTGCAGATGCCTGAGGAGCCAGGTCAGCCTCTGAAGCAGAATGGACTGGCAGGGAGCAGCCTGTTGGACCACGCTGATCCAATTAGGCTCCACGATGGAGAATCCTTTTTATTTTTTGGTCCAAAGCACAAGAGAAGCGAGGGCTGTGCTTTGAAGCCGAGGAGATGAGTTCATGCCTCAGTGCTTGGGAAGCTGGAGAGCCGAGCTTTGCAGTTCATCTGGATCTTCCACAGCTCTCCAGAAAACATTTAATAAAGCTCTCAGCCCGCTTTTCCAGGGACTGCTGCTCCTCACGCTCAGCTGGCTGTGCCAAAGGCTTTCCCTCTCTCCTGGCTGTGGGAGCCTGCAGAGCTGCTCCTGACGTGTTCACTGCACCCCGGCTGGGGTCAGGGGGAGGATAGTCCATGATTCCACAGGACGAGGAATGGCTTCAGACTGCCCGAGGGAAGGGTTGGGATACTGGGAAGGATGGTGGGACACTGGCACAGGGTGCCCAGAGAAGCTGTGGCTGCCCCTGGATCCCTGGAAGTTTCCAAGGCCAGGCTTGGGTCAGCCTGGGATAGTGGAAAGTGTTGCTGCCCCTGGCAGGGGATGGCACTGGATGAGATTTCAGATCCCTTCCAACCCAGCTCATTCTGGAATTCTCTTTCTTTTAACCAAATAGCTGGTTTTTTTCTCATTATTTATTCCTATTTGCTGTTGTTCCCTTTCCTTCTGTTTTTCAGGATGTCTCTGCCATGAAGTGCACTTGGTTGGATTTGTTGATCTTAGAGGTCTTTTCCAACCTAAACCATTCCATGATCCCCTGATTCCTTTCCCTCCAGCTCCACACTCCCCTGCTGCTCAGCTCCTTGCGTGGCAGCAGTGCTGTGAGCCCAGTAAGGAATCCCAGGGTGGTTTGGGTTGGAAGGACCCTCAAGCCCATCCCATTCCATGGGCAGGGACACCTTCCCCTATCCCAGTCCACCCCAATCCCAGCCCTGTCTGAGCCCTGGGTTGTTTCAGGACAATGTGGGATTTGTTTCCCTGTAGAAGAGCCTGGAGCTTTCCCCAGGCTGGGCTGGGCTCTCCAAGGCCGGGATTAAATCTCCCTTGGAGTTTCTGGGAAGCTGTGGCAGTAAGGGGCTGGGAGGAGGGACCGTGGCCACTCACAGCCCCCAAGAAGAGCCTTCACTCCTCTGTATAATGGCCTTCTGTTGGCTTTTAGTGGGGTGCAGTTTAGTAAATTAGGAGTCTTCAGGTACTTAGCACTTTAATGGTTCTCACTAAGAACATAATTAAACCATAGACCCCGTAGGGAGAAAAAAACCAGTTTATTGTGTGTATTTTTAGACTCTGTTACCAGCCCTCATAAAACCTGCTCGATCCAAGCCAGGGAACAGGCCCGAGCTGGCGACCCAGAATTCCTGCAGCAGCACTCACACCTTACAAATCTGCCCCGTGAATTACAGAATTCATTTTCCTGCTCCCATTTCCAAAGGCGTTTGCAGCAGCGGTTCCTCCCCGGCTGCTGGAGGGGAGAGGGAGGCACCAGGGTTATGATGTTGTGCTGACACACAAAGCCACGGTTTGCTAATTTTTTTTTTTAATTTAAAAACATTTTCAGTCCCACAGAGGTGCCCAGAAACGGGGCTGCTCCGAGCCCAGGGCTCTGCTCCCTCTCCGTGTGCATCCACCTTGGGATTGTTGAGTTCCCTCTGCCCTGGAGCTGCAATTCCCATGTTTGTGTGTCAGGAGATCACAGTTCTGGGTGTAGGAGAACCCTCAGCTGCTCCTAGGATGTTTCCTAGGATGAAGAGGTGGAGAGGGAATTTTCATCAGGCACTGGGGTGATGGAACATGGGAGAATGGCTTCAAACTGAAAAGGAGCAGGTTTATGATGGAAAATGGAATAAGATGGAATATTGGGATAAAATCCTTTCCTGACAGGGTGGGAGGCCCTGGCACAGGTGCCCAGAGAAGCTGTGGCTGCCCCTGGATCCCTGGAAGTGTCCCAGGCCAAGCTGGATGCAGTGGAAGGGATTGGGAATTAAATAATCCTCCAGGTCCTTTCCAACCCAAACCATTCTGGGGTTCCATAATTCCCCTCACAGCACAGCCACAAAGCAAAGTGCAAAGCTCCAAATCCCAGGAACAAGAGTCTGGAAAGCTTTTCCCTCCTCTCTGACACCAGCACCTCCAACACCACCCAGTTCCCATGGGTTAGGATTTCTCTGGAATAGCAGGTGTGGGGCAAATGCCTTCTCCAAAATCCCATTTCTCCAGTTGTGAGATTTCTTAGGGTGGCATTTATTAACATATCAGAATTTGGGGCTGTTCCCTTTGAAAAAATAACCATTTTCTTGTCCTGGATGGAGAAATCTCCCCGTGTCAGAAAATGTCGGGCTGCAAAAGAAGAGTGCTTTCCCCAGCGGTGGGTGCCTCTGGTGGGCATGGGCACAAAAAGAATCCAGGAAGTTTTCCAGCATGCCGAGCTCCTGGTGCTTCCCAGGCTGCTCCATCCCAAGGAAACACATCCCAAGGAAACACATCCCAAGGAAACACAGCTCCCTTCCCGGGGAAGCTGTGCTGTGCAGCATCTGGAAGGCATTGCAGGAACACACACACACACACACCTCTCCTCCCCCAGCAGCTTTTAAAGCATTTCTGGGACATGTGAATCACTCCTGTCACTGGGCTTTGCTGTGTCCTCAAATCCAGACTGGTTTGGGCTGGAAAGGACCTGAAAGCTCATCCCATCCCACCCCTGCCATGGCAGGGACACTTCCACTGTGCCAGGGTGCTCCGAAGCCATTCCAGCCTGGCCTGGGACAATTCCAGGGCTCCAGGGGCAGCCCTGGGAATCTGGGTCCTGCCCACCCTCACCTGGCCAGGAGCTTCCACTGCAGTGGGATTTGGGGCTGGAGTTTTCTCTTCCTGCCCTAAACAATTTGGGATGGCAGTGGCTCCAGTCCCAGCTCAAACAACAAGCGGGAGCAATCCACATTAATGTATTAATTACAATTTTAAGTAGGTGTGACATTAGTAACCCTGCCTGCTCTCCGTGGTCCTCATCCAGGAGTGCCAAACTTTCCAAGCTGTTGGATCGATGCCTCAGCTGGGTCAGGATTGGTTAAAGCTCTTAAAAATAATAATAATAATAATGATCATAATAACAACAATAACAATAATTTAATATTTATTATAATAGCTTAATATTTATAATAATAGTTTAATATTTCTAATAATAAGTTAATATTTATCATTATAATAAATAATTATTAATAATCAATATTATTGTGGTAATAATATAGGTAGGTAATAAATTGTGGTAATGTTATACTAATTGTGGTAATGATGATAATAACAAGTTTATAATTGTGATTATAGTAATAAAAAGAATGATAACAATAAGAATAACAATAATAACAATAATTATAATGACAATAATTATAATAACAATAAGAATGATAATAACATTATTATTATTATTATTATTATTATTATTATTATTATTATTCATAATTATAATAACAATAAGAATAACAATAATAACATTTATATTATTATTATTATTATTATTATTATTTAAAGTAGCCATGGAACAACCTGTCTGTTTGGAAGGATAAAAGCATTTCTCAGCAATCTGGGATCAGAACAATCCCTCAGTGAGCCTCGCTGGGAGCAGCCCAACACGGGATTAACTGGAAGCAGGTCCTGGAGGAGGGGAAGGAGCCCGGGGACACCTGGGGCTGCCCTGACCCCCCAGCCTGGCCGAGTGGCCTTGGCAGAGCTCCCTGACCCCGGCCCGGCTCCATCCGGCCAGGAAGGATGCGGTCTCCTGTCCTGAGGGGCCACCGCAGCCTCCCGCCCAGGCCAAGCTTTATTAATCCCAGCTTTGCTAATAAGGAATTACAATAGTTGTGGGATTTGGCAGCGGGAGCGTGCTTGGCTGCCGTGCATCCTGCAGGATTTGCCCTGTTTTGTTTGTATTTTGGGTTTAACTACAAATAATTTAAAGATGTGTTGTGTCTCCTTTAATTAGCATTTGTGTTTTCGACATCTCTCTTTTTTGTTGTTGTTGTCGTTGAAGTTTTAAAACAATACCAGGGAATTTGAGCTTGTCAGATATGTTAAGATAAATTCACATTTATTTTTTGCTCCAGTTGTGGGATTTCTTAGGGTGGCACTTATTATCATATCAGAATTTGGGGTTGTTCCCTCTGAAAAATTTGCCATTTTCTTGTCCTGCACGGAAAAATCTCCCAGTGTCAAAAAATTTCAGGCTGACAAAAGAATAATATTGTCCCAAGGCCAGTATGTAAATACCTTAACCAGCAGAGCATGTTTAGAGGAATTACACTTTCCTCTCCCAAATTACCATCTTGGAAAGCAGCTCTACCAGCACATTTATTTGAATTTTAAACATTTTGAAAGCAGATCTCCAAGGTTTTGAAATCTGGTTTCCATTCCTGGCTCTGTTTGACCCAAGGCCTGACCCCGAGCAAATCTTAGGCTCAGTTTCTGGATCTGCTCCGTTGCTCTGAGGATCCTCACTCAGTTTAACATCCCTCAGTGCCGATCTAAGATTTCAGTGTTCAATAATAGTGGGGTTAATTTAAGATGGGGCTTGGTTATGACGACAAAAGGGAAAATCAAAACTCTTGGTTTTTAAGAGATGAATTTGTTTAAAGACGTGTGGAATGAAGTCATTTTGTCTGCAAAGAAACAAGTCCCCAGAGGTGCAGGATGGCAAACCTGGGGATAGAAACAAGGAATAAGGCCAGAACTTTGTAGCAGCCCTTCACAGCAAGCTTTGGAGGGGATTAATTCCTTTTTTCCTCTGCCCCTGCAGACACAGCCCGTGCCCAACCCCATCTCGTACTTCATGCACCGCTCGCCCTGGTGGTTCCACCGCCTCGAGACCTTGGTCAACCACTTCATCGAGCTGGTGGTGCCCTTCTTCCTGCTGCTGGGCAGGAGGATGGGCATCCTGCACGGCCTCCTGCAGATCCTCTTCCAGGTGAGCTGCTCCTGCTTCGCATCCTCCAGGCCTCAGGTTTTGGCTTTTATATTTTTCAAATTCCGTGCTGCTTTTGTGTGTAGTTCTGAGATTTGTCTTATGGTGCCTCAGGTTTTGGCTTTTATATTTTCAAATTCCCATCTGCTGTAGGCTGCAGTTCTGAGGTTCATGTTATGGTGCCTCAGGTTTTGGCTTTTATATTTTTCAGGTTCTGTGCTGCTTTCATGTTTAATTCTGAGGTTCATGTTATGGTGCCTCAGGTTTTGGATTTTACATTTTTCAGGTTCTGTGCTGCTGTGTGTAGTTCTGAGCTTCATATTATGGGATGGTGAGCTCTCTGCACAGAGCAGGGAGACAAAACAATTCCTGCTCCAGCTGGGGACCAAGGACAAATGATCCAAATCTCAGCCCAAGAGCACGAACAACATGGGCTGAAGAGAAAAACATGCAGGATGGGACTGCATGGGCTAAAGCTGGAGTTGGACAATTAGCTCCAATCTGCAAATGGAGCAGAACTTATAAAAGTAAGAGGCCCCATGACCAGTTGTGCATTTTTGTGACTATTTTGGGATCACCTGGGGTGCAGCCCTGGCTGGGCTCTTGTGCTGCCCAAGGTGGATCCATTGAGGAGATCCTTTTAATAAATCCCCACTTTGTTCTTTAGCTCAGCCCAGCCTCTGCTCTAGCTCAGCCTTCTCAAGGCATCCTGAGGGTCCCCTACTCTCCCGGGCTCCCCGCTCCTCCCAGCAGGAGCTGCTTCAGGGGGCAGGGTGGAATTTCAGGCTCCAGGGAGTGAGGGTGATTCCCAGCCAGGAATTCCTGGGTGTTTCCCACTGCTGGAGGTTTGGGTTCTGTGTGGCAGAGGAATGGCAGCCCAGGATCAGTGCAAAGGCTCTGTGGGGAATCCTTGTGATTCCCCCAAAAGTTAATTTTTACAGACATCTGTCCATCTCTGAAGGGATTCTTCTTTCTGTATTTATCATTTGAGGATTGTTCTTTATCTCTGGAAAGGGTTGAGCTGTTCTTCACAAATACCGGATTGCCTGTGCTGAGGTTTAAAATCAAACTAATTCCTTGAAATTTTAATGGACTCACGTTCCAGTTGACTTTTTGGGTGGGTTTTTTTGTATTTCTGCAAAACTCAGAGGACAGAAGCTGCTGCACAAACACTTCCCTAGAGCCCATCTGATTCCTCTCCTGGCTGTCCTGGCAGAGCTCAGAGAGCTCTCGAAGCTCCATCCCCAGCCCTTGCTGCCCTGTCTTTGTTCAGCATCATGAAATTCATACTCGGGAGCTGTTACTGCTTCCTGTGAGTTCATGTGATGATTAAGCTGGAGAACAGCTCATAAAGGCCCCTGGTAAACCACAAAAATGCTGATCAGGTTTTAAAGGTCTGACAGAAACCCCGGCGGGTTTGTGCCCTCCCGGTTCCTTCTGCTTCCCAAACGCTTCCTGTTGTGTCTGGCTGCCACTGAACATCAGCTTTTACTTTTTGGGGCAGCTTTGGTTGGGTTGGGATGCATTTGGGCAGGTGGAGGGAGAGGTGTGACCCAGGGAGCTCCCGGGGTGTCACTCCAGAGGTGCCAGCTGTGTTTGTGACACCCCTGAGGTTCTTGGAGGATTTTATTCAGCCCATCCCTAAGAAAACTCCACGGACAAAGCAAAACCTACCTTCTCTTACGGTTAAGATGAAGGAGGGCAGGGTTAGATTAGAGATCAGGGATAAATTCCTCCCTGGCAGGGTGGGCAGGCCCTGGCACAGGTGCCCAGAGCAGCTGTGGCTGCCCCTGGACCCCTGGCAGTGCCCAAGGCCTGGCTGGGACAGTGGAAGGTGACCCCAGGAGGGCTGGAATGAGATGATTTATGGTCCCTCCCAGCCCAATCCATTCCATGCCCAATTCTCCCCTCTCATCCCCTTCTCCCCTCGGGGCTGCTCCATCCCTGTCAGTCCCAGCCAGGAACCTCCGGCTCCTTCCCGGCTCCCCCAGGAGCTCCCTAACGAGGAGCAGGGCCCCGGGGGGGCTGGGGCACCTCAGCCAGGGCTGAGCCCACCCCATAAATGTCCTAATGACAGCCAGTCAGTGCAGGCATCAAGCCCCTTTAATTGGCCCTTTATTGATAGCTGGCAATTACTGACTTATTTCGATCACGAGGGGAGTCTGAGCAGGCAGAAAGGTCCCAGTGTAAGAGGCAGCTCTGGTGCATTTATAGCATTTCAACAAAAACCTGTTTATTTAATATTTACTGCCCTTTTCTTCATTCAGAATGACTTTTATTGACAATCCTTGTGCTCTGCAAAGGAAGCAATAAAGTTTAATGTTGATATACCACTTAATTCTGCTTTTCAAGATTTGAATTGACATTACAGACAAGTTTTATTGGACATTTTATAATTGTTATTGGAGTCATGGTGGCGAGCTTGAGTGAGTGTATTTTTCCAGATTCCAACTGGCCTGGAGAATATTGCTTTGTCAGGAACCCAAAAAAAGTTGGGCTTTAAAAGAGGAAAGTGGGGTTTTTTTCCAAGTGTGAACTTATTCTTCTTGCCTGCTTCACGTTTGTAAGGAAAAAAGCTTAGAGAGGGTGGAAACATCAGAGAGGAGATGCTCAGCAGCCTGAGCATGGATGTGTGTCCACCAGGGGATTCCTGTGGTGTTGGGATTCCAGCCTGGAGTTATCCCAGGGGAGCTGGAGGCTCCACCTTGTTCCCATCCTGGCCGTGCGCAGGAGGTTCCTGTTGGGGTTGGTGTTGGATGGGATTTGGGGTGGGATTTAGGGATTTAGGGTGGCTTTGGTGGACACCACAGTGCTGCCAGCTCCTCAGTTCCCCCTGGAGGGCCACAGGGACCCTTGGGATGAGCCCATTCCCAGCAGATCCATGGAGGGCTCGGTGCTGCTGCTCCTGGCCAGGAATGGTCCCTCCTGCTGTGCTTTCCTGCCCCTCAGCTCTGGGGGCTTTGCCACGTTCTCCTTGTGAGCTCAGGTCAAACCCCACCATCTCCACGGACCTCCTGGGCACTGCTGCCAGTTGCGCATGCCAGGAATAAATTATCTGGAAGTGTTCAGAAAACGGTGGATGTGACACTTCAGGACGTGGTTTAGTGGTGAATGTGGTGGTTGATGGTTGGATTTGATGATGCTGAAGAGCTTTTCCAACCTTATCAATTCTGTGATTGGATGGGTTTGTAGCAGAGGTGGAGTGTGGGCCTGAGAAATGCACACCTGGATCTGAAACACCCCAACATTCAGGAGAAATCAAATTAAAAACACGGCTGTCAGTACCTGGAGGGGAGCAAAAGACATTTTGGAGGGTCTTGGAGACCCCAGGTGAGGTCAGGACTCTTATTCTTGGTTTGTAGAAGCACCAGGGCAGAGTCTGCCCATTCCCCAAGGAGTTTGTGGGGTGTGGGAGGTTGGAAGTGCTGCTGGGGAAGGCAAATCCTTCAGCTTGGTGGGGATTTCATTGCTCCCTGGAGCTGCCTCCTCAAACCCTGGATCTCCCTCCTCAAACCCTGGATCTGCCTCCTCAAAACCTTGGATCTTCCCCTTCAAAACTCTGGATCTGCCTCTTGAAATTCTAGATCTGCTGCTTCAAAACCTTGGATCTGCCTCCTCAAACCCTGGATCTGCCTCCTCAAAACCTTGGATCTTCCCCTTCAAAACTCTGGATCTACCTCTTCAAAACTCTGGATCTGCCTCTTGAAATTCTAGATCTGCTGCTTCAAAACCTGGATCTGCCTCTTCAACCCCTGGATCTGCCTCCTCAACCCCTGGATCTGTGTGTTTTTCACGCTGTCCAACTCCCAGCTCACACCAAACGTATTTCTTGGCTCCCTGGAAGCCAGGCAGTAAAATCACACTGCTTGGCAAACGAGTTGATGAGGGGAAGCGAGAGGGAAGCCAAAAAAAGAGGCAGGAAAAAGCCACCTTGCCCCTCAGAGCTGGCAGTAGGGCTGGGTTGGAGCGAGGCAGGGAAGGGGCCAGCGTGGATTTGGCAGTGCCGGGTGGGAAGGAGCTTCAGGATCAGAAAGGTGAAATCCATAAATGAATAAATGGCATGGAAAGTCCACAGTCGGTGCTGCTGGACAGGCAGGGGCACTGCTTTGATTCCCAGTCAGAGCCATAAAGGCACAACGTGGGGAGTTGAGGACGTGGGGAGAGCTTCAAGCTTTTCAGTCCCTTCGGATGTGGATGGATCTGTGAATTGTGGCTCCTTGCCCTGGCCCCTGGAAGCTCCTGGCGTGTCCTCCAGCACGGGGCATCCTGGTGGCAGCAGAAGGCCCTGGATGAGCTCAGTCCGTGTCCCACACAGGACAGAACGCCTGCAGGAGCTGCGCTGGGCTGGGCAACATCTCCAGATCCTCAGTGGTGGTTGAAGGCTCTCCCTGCTCCCTCTGAGCACCCCCGGGATGGCCTTCAGGGCCAGGGACACAGGGGTGGCACTGCCAGGGGCAGAGGGGTGACAATGCCAGGATCAGAGGGGTGATAATGCCAGGAGCACAGAGGTGACAATTCCAGAGCACAGGGGTGGCAGTGCCAGGGGCAGAGGGCTGACAGTGCCAGGGCCGGGATGGCCTTCAGGGCCAGGGGCACAGGGGTGGCAGTGCCAGGGGCAGAGGGGTGACAGTGCCAGGGGCACAGTGGTGACAATGCCAGGATCAGAGGGGTGACAGTGCCAGGAGCACAGGGATGGCAGTGCCAGGGGCACAGTGGTGACAATGCCAGGATCAGAGGGGTGACAGTGCCAGGAGCACAGGGATGGCAGTGCCAGGGGCACAGGGGTGACAATGCCAGGATCAGAGGGGTGACAGTGCCAGGAGCACAGGGATGGCAGTGCCAGGGGCACAGGGGTGACAATGCCAGGATCAGAGGGGTGACAGTGCCAGGAGCACAGGGATGGCAGTGCCAGGGGCACAGGGGTGACAATGCCAGGATCAGAGGGGTGACAGTGCCAGGAGCACAGGGATGGCAGTGCCAGGGGCACAGGGGTGACAATGCCA